TTCATTAGTGAATAGTTTGAGGCAAATAAGAAATATTTGAGGATGTTATTTTTAAATATGGATAATGGTTTCTATTGAAAATTGCAAGCCAAATGGAATGTTGAGAAATATTTCCCATCACACCTAATAAATACATAGGACATTAATTTTCTAGAAATGCTCTGTAGATAGCTATTTCAGCTGTAATAAGAAATCGCACCATTTATAAAAATAAAATGAGATCTTGGTTCATTTTCAAGCTTTTGGTCTCATAATGTCTATCAACTTTGGTGCAGCTTTTCTCTGGAAATTAATGACTAGAGAGGGTTAATGGACCAAAACTCTGCTTGGGTCATCAAATTCTCAAGCTAGTCATTAATTCTCAAATTCCCTAAGCCTTAATCTTTATCACTTAATTAAATTCAATAATATATTTAATTTATATATTTGTCATAAAAATTATATATAATTATTTTTACTCAAATCAAATGTTCCAACCTATTGAGTGATTTGGTAGTTTAATTTGGGCCTTAAATAATTTCTTTAGTTTCAACAAGTGAGAAACTTTTAAATTTAAATATTGCATTCACATTATCCTTCTTTGGAATATTAGTTTTTATGATTTCCATATTCTGTTTCTCAAGGTGGGATAAGTATTGATAATAATGACATTATTAGTAAAAAAACCCCACAGTACATGAACAGGTGCAGCCATGTTGCCATCTTGAGGGACAGCAGATTTAGGATAAAGCAGATATTGTAAAAAGCAGAGTGGGGAACCAGAAAGTAGCTGGGTCCATGATGACACAAACTAATCCTGAATTCCCTATTACTCTGGACACCCCAGTTATATAGACCAAAACNTCTAGTAATACAAGACTGTTTAAATGTTTCTGGTTTAAAAAAACTATGTTCTCATGGGGCAGTGATGGTTATGAGACATATTTTTAAATGTAGTTTTATCAAGTATTTATTTAGATAGTGCTTAATAAGTTTTGTGGTTTCAGGAATGTGTGGGAAGATTGATGGTAAAGAATAAGGTTTTGTATTATGGTAGCAAAAGCAAATGCCACCGAATGTATTGTCTCCAGCTTTCATGAGATAAAGTGCATTTTTCTTTGTAACTATGGATAACGAGGAACCAGTCTTCTTGGTTTTGGAGTGAATCAGTTCTGATTTACCTTAGGCAGGACAATTTGTTACCAATTCCATAATACCTATTCCCACCATTAGATGGTGCACACACTGTATTTACACAGGTCTGCCTTCAAGTTTTAATTTCTGTTCCTTTCTGAACCAGGGGCAGCAGAATACAATCATTTTGAACATATTTGATTCCAAGTAATTAGCTTATACCAGTAGCAGAAAAAATGATTGTATTGACATGTAATTTTATAAAAGAAATATGTGCTCTAAGCAAAGGGTTTTTTTTTAAAAGAAAAATATTTTGTGCATTTTATTTTTAATAAAACCATAGCAAATGAGTTACAAGAAATAAATACAAACTCATTTTTGAATACAGGGTGGTTGGGTATTACTGCAAAATTGTCACCTTGGCCTGGAATTCATGGAAGAATTACTAGAGACACTAAATACCACCGAAGCCAATGATGATTCTTTCCGAGTATGGATAACTACTGAGCCCCACGATCGATTTCCAATTACACTGCTTCAGGTTTGTTTCTATGACATAAGTGTCTTTTCATTGAGAGTTATATGAATAAAGATGGCATAATTGACAATATTGAAAGATGAAAAAACAGCAGGGCTTTTTGGTCCATTATAGTCTACACTGCAAAATCTTATAGTATAATTGTCAAAATCTTGATTGCAATCGTTAAGGTTGTAGAGTAATTATTTCCACAGAAGAGTTCTAAGACCAAGTACTAATTTACTGGGTTTCAGCTCTGATCAGTGTAATTAGTTTATAGAGTGCTGGATTTCAGCCCACATTTTATGTGCCTTAAGCACGTTGTTGTCAGATGTATTGTGATTTCTATTTTATCCTTTACGGTAATTTATAGAAACAACAATTTGCTTTTTATGACAGACTTCTCTCAAATTCACTAACGAGCCACCCCAAGGTGTACGTGCAGGTTTGAAAAGGACATTTGCCGGAATTAATCAAGACCTTCTGGACATCAGTAATTTACCCATGTGGAAGCCAATGCTGTACACAGTAGCATTCTTACACTCCACGGTGCAGGTAACTTCAGGAAGGAGTTTTTACATTTAGGGGATGCTGACGATGTGATGTGGCCTCACTGGGGAGGCTTCCATGATGGCACTACCTGCTGCCACTCTGTCCTCCTTACCCTGCTTGCTTTTCCTTCATAGCACATTTCCCCACCTGGCATAGTATATATTTATTTATGTATTTCACATGTGTCCCCCACTTCTGCCACCCCCAACCCCAGTAATTAGAAGGTAGTCTCGAGGGCTAAGACTGTCTTTCATAACTGCTGAGTCCCCCACAACAG